ATGTAAATATATAGATAGATATTTATTTTATAATTGAGGTTGATAACAAATTCTGTATTTTATATCTTTTATCTATTATACGTACATAAATATTTTGTGTGTGTGTGTACAAACTAAAATATTTCAACTACCTTAAAATAATTTTGAAAAATTGATTACAAATATATCAAAAGCTTTGAAGTTTTGTACAGTGCTTTGTTTTAAATATGTATTGTAGGTTTTGAAGAAGGAATGCTACTGATGTAGCTAGAATGCTACTAAATACTACTATGTATTACACATTTTTCATTCATGTTGTTTACATCTCAGAGGTAATTAATCCATCAAGAACATTGAATCTGGAGAATGGGGTGCATTTGATAATGGAATAAATAAAAAAATTGGATTTCTTGCCACTGGTGTAACATCACATCAGTGAAGGAAGGGAAGAAAATGGTACCTTGCAGTAAAAGTGAAACCTTGGCTCTTTTTCAAAATACTATAGGGTTTTTTTTTTCTCTCTGTAAGCACTATAGGCTTCAGTAGTGGCTGCATGACTTAAAATTCTTCAGAAGCTCATTTTAAAATATAATAAATTGTTTAAGCCACGTTCAAAATAATTTGCAGTTCAGTTTGGTTTTGGTCCTTTGTCACCTTTGTGCTGCACTGTTCCCTCTAATGGGCAGCCTCGTGAATTTGAACCAAAAGAAAACAATCATTAATTATACGGTGGAGTTAATTTTTATCATGATTAGGGTACTGCATGTGACCACTGCCTTAATTACATCAGTATTTCTCAGTGTCAGATGCTAAAAATCTTCATTTAATTCTGAAATTTTGCCATGGGGAGTGAATCACCCCTTCTTTATCATGCATGAAAACTGCCCTGCTCTACAGAGCTTACTTAATACCAGTGGCATCAAGCAGTGTTTCAGTGAGCTTGGAAACCATTGCAGGCGCTGTGTAAGTATAAAGTTTGAGTAGGTAGTTGATGGTGAAATGGCTGGTCTGATTTTTCTTCTTCTCTTGTATAACTTAGTATCTGTAAGTTCTCTTCATTGCCAACTGGTTTTGTAGAAAGCGTTCATTAAACAAAGCCTACTCTTGAAAGTACGAAGGTTAAACAGGAGTCCATTTTGTGTATATTCTCTTCGTCTCTGATTTCCAGAATGTGGAAGAAGGAGGTGCGGCTTACCAAGCGGGTTTAAAAGCTGGAGATCTGATTACTCATATCAACGGAGAGCCAGTGCATGGTCTTGTTCATACGGAAGTCATTGAGTTGTTGTTAAAGGTAACTCTTGGACAACTGGGATACAAAAACGTTTGCTGTTTTCACCAAGGATTGATGTGTTATGTTTGTTTCCTTTAAAGATTAGTTATCAGATTTTGTAGTTGTTTTGCACTAGATCTGGAGGAAGGTCAGTGACTTCATATATCCTGCTATGATTTTAGTTTCTTTGCAATAAACTGGCACTGCTGCTGAGATAGCTGAAGTACATTCGAGGCACTGACACAGAGATGTCTCTGTCTCTCAAAAAATTTGACGTTTTCAAGCACTTTCTTGAATTCCCCCCGTCTTCATCAGGTGATTTCAGGCTTTTGACGATGATGCTATTTCTCGTTTTCTCCTGTTAAAGTGAAATCAATGAGCAAAAGTGGAAACAAAGAATACGAAATATTTTCTTGCCTACTGTACAGGAACTTGCCTTTCATAATGTTAAGGCCCAAAAGGTTTTTGTCTCACGTATAGCCAGGCATATCCCACAGAGCTGCTTTGCTTAATGAAGTTCTGATCCTGCAGTTGGACTTTTATGAATAATCTATCACATTTTTCTCTTGTGGAGTTTTCCGAGGTCTATCCTGTTAGAAAATTACAGTTTTTCCTTAAAAACAAACAAACAAAAAACCCAATTTTTTTTAACGAACAGTAGTGTCTTAGCTTTTCACTGTAGCTTATTATATTGCAGTTTTTATATAAACTTTTCAGCATAGACTAATGTTGGTCAAAATTATTTTAGATAGCTGTATATTTACTTCCTATATTATTAACAATTTATAGTGTTACATGTAGAGCTTTGCTGTCAAAGGGAGTAGTCACTTATAAAAGAAGATTGGAAAGCAATGAAGTAATGAGGAAATATAAAGAGCTGAGGAAAGATGCAAAATACACTTTTCCTTAAGTCTTTATTTTCCTTCTCTGAAACCAGGAAGAACTTCCAAGTTTTCCAATTTTGCAAGAAATGTGTAAGAGAAAATTCTGTAGTTTTAGGCAGTTGGGTCTGCAGTTGTTTTCTGTGTCAGATACAGAAAAAGAGAAACACGACAACCCTGCACACTGCTTACAAGAGTAAAGTCAAAACAAGAGATTGTTGTTTATTCAAATGTGCTGTATCATAAATGAATTCAGGCTATTGCAATTCCTTTGAAAAGAAGTTCACTGTAGTGGTGTACAGCACTGGGCAGGAGGTATGAATTTTTAAAATTTAATGTAGATATTTCCAGTTGGTTTTAGTTATTGAATCATCTGTTCATGCAAACGGTCCTAAAAGCTTAATTTGATTATATTTGTTACCTTTTTTTAACAAGATAAAAGGATTGTTTGGGGTTGATAATGAAGATTAAGTTTTCTCCTCCATTTAATCGTTGTAACAGTCAGTATTCTGAGACACGAATGACCAGTGAATGGACCACTGTTATTTGAGGCAAAACAGGATGTTTCTGTAGAAGCTTTCACCTTGAAAACTGCAGACTTGGTCAGTCCTTGGTCTCCTCCTGTCCAGCTACAATTATTGGAATTTCTCCTTGTCTCAAAGCTGGAAAAGAGGAAGTTTAGGAAATTTGGCAGAATTTGAGTATTTTCTAATCATTGGTTATCTGACATAAATTAGCCTGGCAACGTCTGCATAGGGCTTCCTACACTGCCAGCTCTTACTCTGATGCTGGAGTTCTGTCTCATTGCATTCGCGTTTGTGGTGTAGCTTCAATTTAAGGCAAAGTCAGCTTGTATTACTCACACCTAAAGGTTCCTCCTCCATTTTGGCAGAGTGGTAACAAAGTCTCAGTAACGACAACCCCTTTTGAAAACACTTCCATCAAGACAGGACCTGCCAGGCGAAACAGTTACAGAAGCCGAATGGTCAGGCGCAGTAAGAAAACCAAAAAGAAAGAGAGTTTAGAGAGGTGAGTAATCGTTCTGTTTCATCGCGAATATGTGTCCTTGTGTGTGTGTGTATACATAACAATTAATTTAAAATACGAAGTTAGTATTTTGAGTTAATATTTTTCTCTCTTGTCTTCTACATCTTTTTACCTTCTTCTGTGAGATCCTATGGTTGTAACACGTTCTTCCAACCCTGTTTTGCCTAAACTAGATCTGTTAAAATAACCCCTAAAAATCTTGCATGGCACACACGTATGGGGAAGAAAGTGAATAACTGAGGTTGCATCTTAATTTGGTTTAAGTATATCTTTTTGTACTTGTTTAATTAAACTTTCTAGTGCTAAGTTTATGGGCATTTTTAGTTTGATGATAAGTTTATGTGTATTTTGTAAATACACTGCTAGTACTTTATAGATATTCCTTCAGTTTTGGTGGGCTCTTAAATTAAGAAAAGGGAGATTTATACTCATGTTCTTCTGAAATACAGTGAGTAAATTTTAGTACAAATATCTATCCCACCTATTAGCAAATGAGGATATTTTCTAAACTTCATGCTCTGCGGTATGGTTTGCTTTCATGTAAACAGAGATTTAACATTTGCTTTTCTGAGGGTAACAGGAGAGGGAAGCAATGTCAGCTTGCAAGAGTTTTGCCTGTGGTAATAGTATCTTCTATGCATCTTAACTTTTGATTAATGCTGTTCTCTTCTCATGCTAGGAGAAGATCTCTCTTTAAAAAGCTGGCCAAGCAACCCTCCCCTCTTCTTCACACCAGCAGAAGTTTTTCCTGCCTGAACCGATCACTTTCATCAGGGGAGAGCTTGCCTGGGTCTCCAACCCACAGCTTATCGCCTAGATCACCTACCCCAAGCTACCGCTCTACTCCTGATTTTCCATCTGGTGAGTGTGAAGGACAAGGGCAGAGGAAAAGGGCGTGAAGTGTGTTCTACTTCTTGTGAGCCCCCTGGATCTGTTGTACTCTGCTAAGAGTAGTCAGCTCTGACAAGCGTGATCATTGAACAGCTGATTTCTGTCTGGAAAAAGGGAGAAAGATTCCTGATGCAAAATCAAAGGTGTTTTCATGATATAGAAGTACCTAAAAGGGAACTGTATGCTTCGTTTGTCCCAGAGTTTAAATCCAAGTCCAATGGCTGTAAGTGGAGTAATAAACAATCCAAGTTTGGAGTAAAAGGTAGAATCTTGCCTACGAGAGGCTGATCGATAAAAGAACGAAACTAACAAAAAAGTTGCTACATAATGGAAGTAGCATGGGCACTCACGAATGCAGATTTATTGAAAAGATTGGTTAGGTGCTGAAATATGCATCTTTCTGGCTCCTAAAAGCCTGCCCCTTTTTCCTGTTTTACTTCTGTCATGATTTTAGTGTGTACTAAAAGTGACTGCTGTTGTACAATCCCTTGGCAAAAGTAAATTATTTTCCAGGAAAAGCAAAGGCAAGGAAAGCCTTGATCATTGCTTTGAAGTGGCAGAAAGCATTAGCTGTTTTATTTAAATAGAAGGAAATGATAACTTACAGGGGATGAAGGAACAGAGGAGGGGAAAGGGAGAAATAGCAACGTAATTGGAGTGATGAGGGGTTTACAGCCCAGTCACTCAAAACCTTCCACAAATTCTGGAACATTGTGGTAGCAGATGGCACATAGGCCTTTTGGACCGGTGAAAGTTCCATGTCTCACTGAACATTTAGACAAGATTCAAAAAATCTTGCTCATCTTATGTTTGTTTGGTTTGATTGTTTGTTCTTTTTGTAGGTACTAACTCTTCCCAGAGTAGCTCCCCTAGTTCAAGTGCTCCCAATTCTCCAGCTGGTTCAGGACACATAAGACCCAGCACTCTTCATGGCTTGGGTCCAAAGCTTGGTGGGCAAAGATACAGATCGGGAAGACGCAAATCAGCTGGCAGCATTCCTCTCTCTCCTCTTGCACGGACACCTTCTCCAACACCCCAGCCGACATCCCCTCAGCGATCTCCATCACCATTGCTAGGACATTCGATTGGAAATACAAAAATAGCTCAATCTTTTCCTAGCAAAATGCACTCCCCTCCAACTATTGTAAGGCATATTGTTAGGCCAAAGAGTGCAGAGCCACCGAGATCTCCACTGTTAAAGAGAGTCCAATCTGAAGAGAAACTTGCACCCTCTTATGGCAATGATAAGAAACACTTATGTTCACGAAAACACAGTCTGGAAGTGACCCAGGAAGAAGTGAATAGAGAATTGTCCCAAAGGGAAGTGACTCTTCAGAGCTTGGAGGAGAATGTATGTGATGTGCCATCACTCACACGAGTCAGGCCTGCAGAGCAGGGCTGCTTGAAACGACCCATCTCTCGAAAATTAGGTAGACAAGAATCCATCGATGAGCTAGACAGAGAGAAGCTGAAGGTCAAGATAGTTATGAAAAAGCAAGATTTTGCTGAAAAAGCAAATGCTGCTGTACATGAACCTAGCAGTGAACCAGAAAATCCCAATACCTTAAGATTGGAAGAAAGAGACAAAAAAGCATTCCAGAAGGTATTAGAAAGATCAAATCAGTTTGAAACAAAAATTGTTACTTTGGAGACCCAGTCAGCTGGTGGCATACTCAAAGACACCCTTCAAAAGAATGCAAACTTGAGATCAAATGATGGTGTTGCTTTAGATGCACAGATGTTGTGTCATGGGCCTCCGTCTAATGAACTCAGTCATATTTCTTATGACTTCAAAAGAATTTCCCCTCCGTGTACACTGCAAGACGTGCTACCTCAGTCCTCTGACAAGATGCTAAATGGAAAGGGGGAAAACACAGATAAAAATGTACCAACAAAAGAATTTGTCAAATTTGAAAGATTAGATGGTAAACTTGCAAATATTGATTATCTTAGAAAGAAAATGTCCATTGAAGAAAAAGATGACAGTGTCTGTCCAGTGCTAAAACCCAAATTGACATCAAATGTTCATGAATGCCTTCAACTTAATACAGGCAGACCACCCATAAACATACAGCAAGACTCCACTGCAGTGGCCGATGGTAGAGCATTTATTGGCAGTGCACATGCTGCTCAGATTAACTCAGTGTCTTTTGTTCCTCTCAAGACCTTGAATGGTCGAGCGGACATGAGTGTGGAAAAATCAGTCCTTATTTCCACTGAGGCTCCTGTCAGAAAAAGTCCATCAGAATATAAACTTGATGGGAGGTCTGTTTCCTGTTTGAAGCCAATAGAAGGCACACTAGACATTGCCTTACTTTCTGGGCCACAGGCTTCGAAGACTGAACTGCCTTTGTGTGTGCTGCCAGAAGGACAGAGCACCAGCAGTAATGGGGGACCTCCTAAACCCCCAGCACCACAAGGGAGTGGTGGGAAGGCAGAGCTGGCCTGTCAGAAAGAGCAGTTGTCAAGCTATTCAAAATCTGGCAAAGTCAATGTATCAGAGCCTCAGGCTCTGCAAACAAGCAAGAGTTCTCCACATCCACCAGTCATCCCTGTGGCTGCAGAAGTAGTGGCAGAGAAAAAGGTTTCTAGTCCTGCTACTAAAGGCAGTATTTCTGTTATTGAAGCTGTTCAAAAGAAAGACACCTCCCTTTCAAAACAGAAGGACAATTCAATGGAGGCAAAGTCTTGCGTTATGCAAAGTCAGAGTGTTAAACCTACTCAAACATACTCCAAACTTTCTGCTGTACAAAGCACTCCTGAAAAAGCTGTAGGAAAAGAGAAGCAAATACAAAAGGAATTGCCTGCCAAACAGCCAGTAGCCCAGAGAAGTTGTGAGCCTATCCCTGCAAAGGTGGAGGTGATCAGGGAGTCATCTCTGAAGGTATCTGTCTCGGATGTCCAGATAACGAGCTACTCCAAAAGCAATGAAAAAAATTGTGCTGATTTTGCCATTCCACCTCAGATGCAAGGAAAAATGCAGGCAGCTGGCCCCAGGGCACAACCTAAGGATGGCAGAGAATCACTGAAACAGCTAGGCAAAGATGACAGCAGTGTTGCTAGTAGTTTTGTGGAAAGGGAAATAACCAAGCAGAAAGTTCTGAGTGAATCTAAGAAAGTTATCTCAGAGTCAAAGAGCGAAGCTCTTCCATCCAAACAGCTCATGCAACCCTTAGTAGATTGTGATCCTAAAAATGAGAAATCTGCACCGTTTTCCTCTGTGCAGAAAGACAATGCCAAAGATTTAGGAAAGAAAGATCAGAAACAACTCACTGACATAAGGCTTCAAACTACTGAGAGAGAGCAGTCCAGCCAAGTTCCTCGTCAGCAACTTAACGCTTCAGGCTCCCCTGCTGTGAGAGACACTGTAAGCAGAAACTGTGCTGTAGATGTTCACGTAGGTGTTCAAGAACATGTGAAACCTGCTGCCACCTATGTGGAAAGCAGCAGTAAACAGAGGCCAGTCTCCGATACAAGTTCCTCTAAGTCTAAGTACTTGGATAAACAGATATTGTCACAAAAACCATGCACTCCAACCATAAAAGAAAAAGAAACAATTATTCAGGTGTCTACCAGCTCCCGGAAAGATGGGAAACATGCCAGTAAAAATGTGCTAGATCCCCTTTCTTCTGTTTCAGGCTCTGTGAGAAAAACAAGCAATGAACATGTGCAGGCCGAAAGGCCTGTGAGTTTGGAGCATGGCTCAGTAGCCACCCTCCAAATGAGCAGCATCACTCCTGACACCAAACCCAAATCCTCTGCTGTCAGCTCGGTACCAGCAGGCCCAGAGAGTTCTAGGCAGATGCAGAGGCAAGAACCAGCAGGCTTGGGGGAATCTGCTGATCAAGAGCAACTTCACCTCAGTGAAAAACAAACCGTGTCTCCAAAGTTTTCCACTGTGAAAGACTGTCTCTTTCTGAGCAAACAGGCAGACAGAAGTCCTAGTAACCAGATGATCTCTGCAGACAAAAGACCCGAAGGAAAAATATGCACTGATGCACTTTATGTTCAACTTGACAGTGGGAAAGTAGAGCCTACCCTTTGCCTCGCAAACTGCGATGCCAGAGGGAAAGGAGCAGAAAAAGCGACCGCAAGTAGCAAAAGCTCTCAAGATTCAAAAGGGAAAGCACAAGTTAATCAAAAACAGCCAGAGGATGCAAACAAGCAGATTGCAACAAAACATTTGTCATCTGGCAGCGGGCAGAGTTCTTGTCGCGTGGCTGCAACACCAGGAAAGCCACTGACTTGTTCAGCCAATTTCTCTGAATGTAGACAAGAAGCATCTGTTTTGTCTTCAGCGAAGAGTGATGCATCTTCAGCAAAGGTTAAAGCAGGCTCACCTGAGCTTCCTGCAACCTGCAAGGAACTAAGTAAGAAAAGCACCTCTTCCGCAGGGAGCGATAAGGCAGAAATAACTAAAAGTGTTTCATTGATGGCCTTGCACAGTGCTCCTGTTATAGCAGAAACCCACCACCCTGCTTCAAACCTTGGGGGGAAACCTGGAAATCAAGAAAAGTCTTTTTTTGTTAACACTGTGGATGTAAAGGGAAAAGATGCCGTTCAGGCTCAGCAGTCTGCTTCAAGAAAACAGAATGTAGGTAAAGATTTATCCAGGTCAGCAACCACACCTGACCGCCCTAACGCACTTTCTAATGACAAAGACTCAGCTCGGCAGCGGCGAGGAAAGGAAGCTTCACGGAGCAGTCCTCACAAAAAATCCTGTTAACTTTAAGACCTGGCAGGTGTGAGTTCAAGACTTAACTGAAACAATGTCAATATATTAAACCAGCACTGTGTCGTGTCTTTGTGCAGCAAAGCTTTCATGTCACTGAAGAAAGATGACAAGGGGATATGTAAAGAGAGGACTTTTTTCAAAATGCCTTCCCAATTGTAACCGGTAAAACTGTTACCATGTAGTATTTGTACAAAAATACCTTTACAGCTGAGAGCTGTTGAAGAAAAGATTTCCTCTGTAAATACCTAGCGATGTGTTTGGGGTTTGAATGTAGCATATATACTTTGCTGCTGATTGCGTTGTTTACTCTTCCCTTTTTTAAGATAGTTGCTTTGCCACTTATTTGCCATACTCGAATATGAAAGAATTATTAGAACTCAGACCTGGCATGGACATGCACAAGCATGGGTCTGACTGGAAAATAAAAGCAGGCCACATTTTTACTTACTAAAGATCCTAGCTAGAGGTTAAAAAAAATACTAGTACAGAATAAATATGGTGACTTATTGTGAGTTTTTACATGTATTTTTAATAAGCCAATTTTGATAATACTGTACCTGGCTGACTGCTTCACCAGATCTAACACAAGACCTAACTGCATCTCCCTACCGCCCAAAGCCTGTCTCTTAGAGTAGGTGTCGTTAAAGCTACGGGAGGACCACTTGGTTATCGGGGCGTCGCAGTGAGAGTCGTGTTCTCTGGTGAAACGGTGGTTCTCGTCTTGTCTATTGGGAGTGTGTTCTGTGACCTTCACCTCAGACAAGGCTGAGACTCTGAAGCACATGCCGTGTGCTTAGTTTTTGCTGCAATCCTCTCTTGAGTTCCTTGAGCTTTTTTAAATTCAGGCCCTTACAGTGTGAGGCACAAGTATAAGCACATGACTTGCAGTACTAGTATGTTCGTCCCTGTTTTTTAATACATTTAGAGAATTCGTATTATCGTGGCATAATTAGCTTCATACAGCCATAGCTTTTTTTCTATTTTATGACAAGTAAGGTAAAAAGCAGTTTCAGTATCGTATCTTCAAAAAAGTTCAGGACATCCGATACATTTTAATACATAGCTGGGGCCTTATGTTGTAGACTTAACTTGCTGTTTTTAGCAAGTAATTCTGTGTTTCACATTCATTTCTAAATGCATTGAGTAGCTCCATACATTTCATAACATAATCTTTTTATTTGTATGCAAAAAAAGTAAATACTGTAATTATAAAAGAAGCATTTTGTAACAAAGGAACCTGTTGGAGCTATTTGGTGCTAGAATGTGAGTGTCTTTTTACTTTTGCTAAGCCTTATTTAAATTTTGTATACTGTGGAACATGTAGACTTAGGTCATTTTAGCGTGGAGGTATTTAGTTTGTTTTGAAGGATGAAAGGTAAAATTTGAAACATGTACAGAAGCACTACAAAATAGCCTTGCAGATGCGTGGTTTTTAATAATGGGGATCAATAGAATGGTGGTTTTGCTTATTTCTGTTATATGTACCCACAGTAGAGCTAGGCCCCTACCTGTTTCATCAGGGCTTACGGGTTGTCTTTCTGTCTCAAAAGCTAGAAAATTGTTCATAAAAATACAGTGTAATCTTGACTTGGAGTTTGTATGACAACTGACAGTGTGCAGAATTCATTTCCCTCTGGTGAAAAGTTTATTCTACTGATTAGTTGAGTTGGATTACATCAAACCTGTCATGGAAAGATAGTATCACAAACAAGTCCTTCTGATTTTTTTATGTGGCACTGGAACATTCATACTGCCTTTGTGTTCACAGAGGAGCTAGTGAGCAATGGATAATATTTTTTGAGCGGTTTTAAAGATAAAATGGTCTTGACATTTACAGTTCATCTGTGCTTTGGCAGTTACTACAAATGAATGCTAATGCACTTCGAAATTACATTTCTGTCTGGGAGGTATTTCCTAGTTTACAGTCTTCTGCATTTTTTTTCAGCTATCCTCTTGTTTCCTTTAAAGCACATCTAGCTATTTGTTTACAGTATACCTTTATGTATATTTTGTATAGTTCATTATCACTTCTGACAAATAACTTCTTTGCATTTTGGAAATGTAACAGTGCTTAAGCTTGTGTTTATGTAGTACCTGTTTGTTGGTGTTTACCTTATTGGTGAGCTGTTAGAGATCCTCCTACCTGTGTGCTACTTGGTCAGTCCTTATGTGATTGTAGATCTGATGTGTTCTTTTGTAGACTTCCTGCTGTAGATTCCTCAGCTTACAAAAAAAAAAAAAAAAGAAAAGAGAAAAAAAAAAAAGAAAAAAAATTGTTAGGGTCTGTGCAATAAAGTGTTTGCAGTCTTATTTTCTCTAAGAAACTCCTTATGGATGTCATAATTGTTGTATATTGAACACGATTATTTATACTTATGCAGTTGCATAACATTGAAATAAAAATTCAGCATGAAACACTGTTGTGTTATCATTTTTCCTTGAACTGCGTTCACTCCTGTAACTTAAGGCACATCTCTGCTCAACTCAGAGGTGGGCAGTTGGTTAGTTTTTTTCCCTCTGGGGCCAACTCAGTGCATCTCTTAAGGCACATGCTGGCCGAGGATTTTGCATAAGGAAATGCAGTTTAGTCTGGAGACGTAGGAGGTCTGCATAGCCGAGTATGTCGTCTCAGGCAGTGGCTGCAACCACTGCTCTGCTGTTGGTTAGGTAGGCACGAGGTGATGATGGATGACATATCCTAACTGGTCGCTAACAATGGCAGTAGGCTGTAACGTGACATTTAAATCTTTCCTCCAAAACATGTATAATTACTTAAAATAGGTCAGTATGTGTTTTAGGGTCAAAATACCCAATCTTTATTGGTTTTTTTTATTCATGCTGAATTTTCAGCCTTAACAAATTTCCTGGAGCATGTGTAAGTGCAACATTTTCTTCAGTTTTGAAATCTCTACCCCTTGAACATCATCAAATTTTATTCTCTTTTTCTTATAATAGAAGATAAAATAGATGCAGTGAACCAGACAGGGGAGATGGAGCAGAGCACCTCAGTATGCAGTGGCCTCTTTGATGAAGAAAAATCCTTTTGGCAGGAGGAGCAACAGGGCAGGATTATTGCTCCCCCAATTTTCATCTTTCCACTTCTTGTAAAAGAGCAGCATTAATTAAAATACATGTTTCTTTACTGTTCCATTGCCAGTAGCTCTGCACAGCCGGTTGCATGTGCCAGGAACTGTTGGTCTGGTGGGGGAGGCTATTTTTGTTCACGTTTTATTATTGCATTGTTTTCTCTGTGTTTTTTCCTCTGTACAAAACCAAGTACAGCAGTGTTACACATCACTTTTACTGCTTTGCTCTCTGAAACTAATAGGTGAGGGGAAACTGCAGGTCACCCCCAACCTTTCCAACTTGCTGCAACCCAGCAGAAGGCAGATAGTCTGCAAAATTGGTGGGCTGGCAGGTGGTGTGATGAGTCGAGGAGGGGAAGGCAGGATCCAGCAGCTCAGGGAAAGGAAATTACTAGAGTTGAGGATTGGCTCTGGATCTAACTGCTCTGCCTGCTGTGCCATTTCTGGCTGTGGACAGCAGCAGTCACCTCTGCCTGGGGAGGCATAGAAACCTGCATGCCCAGACTGAGTCTCCGTAGTGTTCAGGAGCAGCGGAAAGGGGTGGTGTAAGGGGTTTGCGCTGAGGAAGAAGTTGGGAGAGAAAGGTTCCTGGTATTATATCTGGCATGGCCTGTCACCCTCACTTCCACTGTTGTAAGAAGAGACTGCACCTCACCTGGGATGGGAATGCTTTCATGGTCTGGAAGGGAAACATGGGCTCCTTTCTTCAGCACTGAACTCACAGTTTGCTATGTTCCCTTAGACCCCATATTTTTCTCTTATGTAGTTTGCAAGAGTTAGCAGGGATGCCAAGGTTGGATTTGGATGGTGGCTCAGATGGCAGCTCAGAAAGAATAGAACACAGGACAGGAAGATACTAGAGTGTGTATGGATGCATGTCCCAATTCATAGCTTGAGTTAGCGACGGTTTTTCTTTCCACTGACTATAGTACAGTATTTGATTAGCACTGACCAGCTCAATCTCCCAGACATCTGCCAAGGACGGATTTGAGTGAACTGGGGATAGATGCTAGAAGTGATGGTTCAAGCTGCAAAGAGTTGGGAGCATCAGGAAGAGTGGAGAAGGCTGCGGAGTAAGAAGACAGTAACAATGTGGGTAAGTTCTAGCATAAGCAAGCCCTTCAAAATGCAGGTGTGAATTAGATACAGGGGCAAAAGGATGTCTGAGAGATTTGCTTCAGAAGGATGTCATCTGCTGCTGGGGGAGAAGAATTCCCATTGTATTTGTCAGTCAAGGAGGTACGATATGAGTGAGTGGTGAGGAAGGGATCTCACCCGCTCTTTTTCCAGGTACAGACAAGACTAGTGAATTAGAGAAAGTTCTTAAAAGAATGTCTGTCGACATGAGGATTTTTTTTTTTTTTTTAAGTTGACAGATTTAGAAAGTGACCTCTTCAACCATCCTGTTCAGAGTAAAATCCTCTGTCAAAAATTGACTTGCATCTTACTGATAGTATCTTTTTTAAGCACAGTTGGGGAAGGAAGAACTTGGCTCTGAGTTTTGGTTTGTCCAACTGAAATAAAGATAAGTGCTTAGCAGTCTGAAATGTGACTTGTTAGCTAAGATCTGCTAAAGTTTCTTCTCTGTGTAAATACTGATAACAAATCCTATTTTGCAGTTTTGTGCTGTACCATGACTTCAGTGACATCTAGCCCAGGAGCCAGCATGGTGGTGAGTTCGATCCTGTTAGGCACCGTTCACCTCAGGCGATTCCCTTGTTCTCTCTGTGTGCCAGCTCCCCAGCTGTATTTGAAAAAATAAGAGATAAAAGGCCTGACTGGAAACCAAGGACTGCATCAGATCAAAGCTTGACTGGGTAAACAAATCTATAAAGAAAAATAGATCTACTGTCTCTTTCCATTTATATCCTTGCTAAGTAATCCCAGAAGACTAAACCTTTGGAC